AGACGGAAACAGGATATGGGTGGCAGTATCTTTCTGATAACAATGCAAAGTGATAAAAAGCTGCGGTTGCCAACTCGTTTGCCAAGCGTGCATACTACTGCGAATATCCGGTCATCAGCAGTAGAGTACCAGTCTAGAATCTAAATACCATCTCACTACTGGGCGCAGGCCACAGCGAGTTTTAGAGCAAAAAGGATTTTACTGCAATGCGGGATGACCAACTACATATACCTTAAAATATTTTTAACTTTTTAGATACGCGGCTAAATTGAAACTTCAAATTGCAATTTTTAAAATATTATATGTGGAGTCGGCGCGGGTCGAATTTGGGTAGCTTACGTACCTACTACGAAATTTATGTTTACATCACTTCGATACCGGCTTTGACAGATGACAGATTCTATCAATGAAGTTCTACTCATAGTTAATATAAAAATAAACCTGTGTTAAACATTTATTTCTTTGATATTTATAGTACTTTTTCTCAAGAGATTACTCATTTACTCATGTGAGCTATGAAACCGGGACTGTCACTAAATTTTTAATAGTAATGTCTGAAAATATGAAAGTGATCTTAATATATTATGACAAACTGTTTTAAAAGTCACATTAAAAGTAAAATAGTCTGTGTCAACGGTATCAAAACAATTCCATCAATTATGGATAAAAATGTCACAGTGCACTTTGTTTTCAATTAGGTACTTATATCGGACTTGATACAAAAAGAAAATGTTGAAATACCATGCACACAACATATTCAACTAAAGAACTTCTCTTTTAATTACAGTTTTATGTAATTTTATTAGTAATTTCTCTAAAATTCACATTTTAAATCATGCGGTCAGTGGCCACCGGTCTGGCTTTTTAAGCTGCAACAATAAGTATTTAACAGAATTGTGTTTAGTTTGCTCAGTTACTTATTATTAATTAATTAAGCAGTTAGTAGATGTCGCTACTATTATATTAAAACCATGAAAACCAAAACTGTACCCTTTAGTACTTCAGCCACAATTAGTTGAGTTGCAACTGGATTGGCCCGATCCCACAACAAAGCTGTGAACATTTATATAATATATAATAAGGTATAAAGTGATGTAGAATCTATAGAAAATTCTGCTTCTGCCGAAAATATGCAACCAGCACTGCTAGCGGTGTTTAATGAAATTATTTTACGATATGTCTAATGGTCGCCACACACGGCCAGTTCAACTGATCATTCCAGCTGATCAGTTCAAACTAAAACTGTTGATATTTTTTAAAATATCGGATTTTCAATATATCAATAAATAAACTTATATGTAAAACTACGATATTAGTATATAATGATCGATATATCGATCATTATAAATATATAATGATGATATATGATCAATGATATATCGAAAATCCGATATTTTAAAAAATATCAACAGTTTTAGTTTGAACTGATCAGTTGGAATCAGTCTAAAATCAGTTTAACTGACCGTGTGTGGCGACCATAACAATATTATCTAGAAATATAAATGTCGTGTTTAGTTGTTAATGTAGCCAATCAATCTTTATTCATTGATTTGGTCAAGCTATATCATGATATAGTCAACAAACACTTTTAAATTTTATGAAATACCGCTATTACACGCAATAATCGACTAATTAATAATATAAATTCTAAGATCTGACCAATACGTATAAAAAATCTCTTTATTTGTACTGTAATTGTAGTTTTTATCAATTCATTTATTTTTTTTTTGTTATTTAAAACGTTTTAAATATTAGAAATTAAACTTGGAAACATAGGGATGTATTCTATTTTTATTTACGATTTTAGATAGATGTCATTTTTATAGGTAAAAAAAATTAAAATTATTTGGTAGCATTTTAATGGAATTAAATGTTAATTAGTCCATGAGAAATTTGACTTACTTATAGCGATATATATAGTCATTATGCATCCTATTAGGTACATATGTTCATAACAAACATACGCTGAGCACAATTTGTGCACGGATGTATGTGAACGATTGTTTACGATATTGTTTCCCTTGTTGCCTCAGCCAGTATCGGAATCCTCGGCGTCGACATATCGAGTGACGTGCAGTTTCGTGGTCACTTGGAAGGGAAGGCCAAATTGGCCTCTAAAAAAGCTTGGCGTGCTCAGCAGAGCGGGACAGTATTTCATGCCGGCACACCGCCTGCAACTTTACAAGGCGCAGGTTCGGCCGCTCATGGAATACTGTTCCCATCTCTGGGCTGGGGCTCCCCAGTACCAGCTCCTTCCACTTGACCGCATCCAACGCAGAGCGGCTCGAATCGTCGACGACCGAGTGCTTTCCGATCGGCTCGATTCACTGGCGCTGCGAAGAGATGTTGCATCTCTTTGCGTATTTTATCGCATCTATCACGGGGAGTGCTCTGAGGAATTGTTCGGATTAATCCCAGCCGCCAAATTTCGTGAACGCACTACACGGCAAACGTCCCGATACCATCCACACCATCTGGATGCTTGGCGGTCCACCACTGTACGTTTCAAAAGGAGTTTTCTTCCGCGTACAACCTCTCTGTGGAATAATTTACCACCGGTGATTTTTCCGGACCGATACGACCTGGGGACCTTCAAGAAAAGAGCTTACTCCTTTCTAAAGGGCCGGCAACGCACCTGCAATTCCCCTGGTGTTGCGGTTGATCATGGGCGGCGGTAGTCACTTAACATCAGGTGAGCCACATGCTCGTTTGCCCCCCTCTTCTATAAAAAAAAAAAAAAAAAAATGGTTTAAATAGCTCAGTGCGCATATTGCCTACCAAGAATCAAACACTGATTTTTATCATCATTCTCACTTAAAATAAATGAGCAATTCAAAACAAAACAAAAATAAATAATTCTGGTACATGTAAAGAACAGTAAAAGGGATAGACACAATTTGTTGATTGATTATTAATGTTTAGACGAATTATTTTGCTTAGTTGATTTGCTAATAAAAATCGGAATTAACCATATACATACATGCATAAACACTCACGCCTGTCACCCAGAGGGGTAGGCAGAGACTACAGACTTCCATTTGGCACGACCCTGATACACCTCTCTCGCCTCCTTCACATACATATACCTACCTACGCATACATTCTCGTCGGTTAACGGTACTCCTAATTTGGCCCGTTTTTAATAAATCGCCAATTTGGTCGATAAATTTTCGCCTAGGACGTCCCTTTCCGACTCTGCCATTCACTTCTACAACATAAATTTTCTTTGTCACTCTTTCCTCATACCTCATACCATAAACTCAAACACAAATACTTTACATTAACACTTCAAGTGAAAATAGCGGAGTTCCGGACTGACCGATGTCAAAGTAATTGAACTTGTCTTTTCTCATTGTCACATCGAAATATCCTCATTCATGTTTAATCGTAAAGCACTGAGCAAATAGATAATACGATTTAAGACAATTTCTATTTAAAGTCAGGTCTCAAGCGTCTATCAAACATATTTGCATATAGTTTTATTAGATTGCTTTAAATATTTCCGTTACATTGTTTATAAGTAATTTTCTTACATATACTAATTTCATTTTTGTAAGTATAACAATTAGGAGCGTTTGTTAAAAAGACATTACGTTTTTTTTCATTAACATAATTATTACAAACTCTGTGTATGCCATTCGTTGCACTTACTAAAATTTTCTCGTTCACGAACAAAGCTTCGATCCCGTTAGCCTAATTGTAGGGCAACATGTACAGTAAAGAGACTGCGTCAGACCGAGACGTCGATCGCGACTCACAGAAAATACGTCGGAGTGCAGTCAAGGCGATTGATATGCATTTATAGAAATATGCCGTTTCTTAATTTTATTTAAGTTTTGAAGTTTTTTCTCAAAGTTTCTATGACCAAATTTTGTTCACAGAAGGTTACTCTTTCTTATTGTGTTATGCAATAGCTGCATAATGCTGTTGTGTTTCATATGATATGTGTATAGAACCCGAGACCCTATTTAGTGGAATTGAGGCATTCTATATCAGTCCTCAGGGGTGACAACACATCTGCATTTTGATTCTTAATCGAGGATAAATATAGATGTCTATGGGGCCTAGCACCCACTTACCATCAGGTGGGCTGTCTGCTCGTTTATCACACTTATATTATACAAAAATTTAAGTTTAAATTGAATTAATAATGTATTAAAATAATCTGACCGAGAAAAGAACCAGCCCTCTTATCACGTATACAATTCCTTTAGGAACTTCACTGCACGTGGACCCCACGGATCGACAGTCTCTACAGCAAATGGCACAAATATGTAGTAATTTCTCAAATACTCATATTTTGCGCCATTTACTTAATTCAGCTTAATCTTATACCGCCCCGGTTTTAAAAGAGGTACCCTTGAGATGAGAGGCCGCAAACGCAAGTAACATTCCACACTAGGGCTTTACCTCTCTCCCAAGGGACCAAAGTCATACCGTCGGGTCTCTTGCCATCGTCTCTAAATATCCCGCAAGGCTCTAAAACCGAGGGAACATTTATAGAGACAAGAGCCCTTCGGATGAATTCGTTCAGAGAACCGTGACGGGAAAACCTATTAGCACTTTTCTAACATGAAATTCCGTGGAACGTCCGTCGCTCAAAGGCTAAGTATAGCTATTCAGCGAGGAAACGTAGCCAGCGTTCTTGGCACAATACCACGGGGAGCAGGTCCTTATGACAATTTAAATTTTTAGTTTTAGTTTTTCTATATTATAGTTTTTTATATTGTGTGTTATGAACATTAATTGTAAATATTGTAAAATAATAAATTAAAATATTTTTAATCAATAAAAATAATCACATAATATTATAAAAGAAAACCAAAGGAAATCATTTGTATGTAGTAGTATGTAAGTATAGTAGAGCACATTCTTCAAATATAGAAATCCGCTTCCATAACATTCCTACAACTGTCACTCATGTACTGGACCTAGCTCAGAAGTCTATTTCCCAGCACTTGGACGATCCAGTTTAATTACCATCCATCACATCGTACGACATGCACCGTATCGCTCCATCGGCGGCCACCGACTACCGAATATGGAGTCACCGTAATTGATGCGCCTAATACACGTCATTTGTTGGACGGAACATACTGCAACATGGACAAGAGTTTGTGTTTGTATTGCAGGTTTGTTGGAAGCAACTGTTGACTTCCAACTTCACAAACAAAATTAAAATTTAAAAAAATATAAATATACATATAAATACAGAATTAAATAGAGTACAGTAGTAATCAACTCTATGCTATTACTGACGAGTTGCTTATAACATTATAACTTTATATATTTCTTAGCAATAAACAATTTTATTTACATTATAAAAGACACGCTGCAATTTTATACACGTTATTATTTACTTAGAGATCTAAAGAATCGCCGAAAGTCCGTATTATGCCTCCTCAAGTCCAAAAATAGCTTCCTTAATGAGATGTAAATGAACTAAGAAATAGCCGACTCCGTTCGCGTTATAATAACGCGTAACGACCTACAACTCCGGATTAAGAAGCCCTTTGACTTGAAACTAGCCACCGCGCGAAATACTCAGGCTCAGACGAACAAGCAATTTACGATTTACAACTGTGCTGTGAATAGCATAGAGTTAGTAATTGCGTGATCGATTACAGTCTTTTACGACCTGTAGTTACGTTACCGGCACAATAGTGTGGCTATTTTAAAACTAATTGGCAGAAAGGGTTGCGAATTAACGTCAGGGTCGAGGAGAGTCGCTGACGCTTAGTTTGTGACTAGCGCTTAATATTTAAATTGAATAACAATGAGTTACTAAGCAGCGAATTGTCTATAAGCCTTCGAGGGCGTAGAACAATAACTACATCAGATTTCATTTAGAAAAGAATCACATAATTTTTGTATTGATATTATATTATATTATATTATATTATTATGACAACAATAAACATAACCAAAGCTTCTATTGGCATCCTAAATTTTCATCCTATATTTTCAAATATAATTTCAATATCAACCGCGCACCCGGCCGCCATCGTAAACTGAAGATGAAATCTGCACCACTCATATACAATTGACTTACAATTGTGAGTAATATCTTATTTGATTATTTCTATATTTTCAATTTAAAATAAACAGCGTAGTGGCGGCTCCGCTACCCCGTATCATCCCGTGGGTTTCGAAAGAGGAGTCAAAAATAAATTTAAACAGGATATGAACAGTAGCAACTTTCTGATAACACCTTTAAAATGGAATAAAATCTATTTTACTTTCTTTCAATAACAAAAGTATAAACTTTAATCTTGCGCTTACTGACTTTCTATTTAAATACAATCGCTATTTACGCAAACACTGCATGTTACGACTTCAATGAATCTTCAAATTTGATGGGATGGTGATATAAAATCCAAGAACAGCGTAATTTAAAAATATGTTAGGTGTTGAGTTATAAAAACGATTATACGTAGGTATTCGCACAACTGATAGCGTTCAACGTTCCATAATTTACTTTTTTACGTATTTTACGTAAAAAAGAAAATTATGAAATAATGTAGCATGGCTCTACCACGTTTTATATTAGTAGAGCTATGCTACAGTTATATTAGTAATAAAGTTGTAGTACGAATGGGTCGGCTCGACCGGGAAGGACCACGTTCTCACGGAATACCAGCGTAAAATAGTAGCTTAATACTGCTGTGTTTCGTATGGTCAGTGTAGAGAACCGGAGACCCTTTTTACTGCAAATGAGGCATTCCATCTTAGTCCTCACGGGTGACAACGCATCTGTATTTTTCGTAATCAAGTGTCTACGGGCCACAGCAACCACTTACCATCAGGTGGACTGTGCGCTCGTTTGTCACCTTATACTATAAAAAAATTTCTTTAGCGTGCAGTTTCTTTTCAGCAAAATATTCAAAAATGAATTTTCTGTCGTAAGCAGTAACACTACACATTGAATAAAACTAGTTTTTACGGGTTATAGCGTTTAATTAATTTCAAGTTTCATCCATTCAATAGGATCACTTTATAAGTCCTTAGATAACTCAGTGGCGACTTGTTTAGCTGCGGTTCTGCGGGTCATAGAACAGAGTCCCGCTCAAAATACGAGTACATCTAAATAATGCATGTAAAGCGCTTTCTCGATACAGGAGGAATTCCTAGTGTGAGGATAACATTTCATTACTAAACCGAAAAAGTACACGTACAAGTGTACACGTCGTAGAAGCCACTTTTTAATAGGTCTGCATCTTGTAAATAGTCGCAATCAGTAACCTGTACCGCCATCCACAACTTGGTAATGTCATCCGTCACATTAAGGATAACACTACATTATTCGCTCAGTGTTGCACCGAGCCACCGTAGAATAGCCACTTTCTTAGCCACCGAGCATCGAAGATTATACAACACTGTTCCATGATATAAAACTCATGCAATGGCAACCCGAGCGATATGTATTATGCATTCGTGAATATAAACCGCATAAAGCAGTCTGAATCAATTACAGAAGCGGGTAGGGCTCGTTAGAAACGCGTCACGCATGTACAATCGCGTAGCAGTAAGGTAAACAGCGTTTATCTGGTGCTAAGCCAATGCGAACAATGGGCATCCAAATTAGGCCTTTATAGTTGGTAGCTTCCCCACATTGGGTGTGTTCGCTTGTTTTACTTTTTGTCATCATCAGTGCGCTCGAATCGGGTTTTTCGATTCTCGTAACGATTGAATCGGACATGTCGTCACTATTTATTTGATTCGTTTTCGGAGTCCTATGTCAATCATCTAATCCTCTGTATTTTTATAACTCTGTACTACAATGTGTAGTTTTTATTACGATAATAGATACTATTTTAAGATATACATATATTTGAACGGTGTTAAGCGCAAGGACGTATGAAAAGTCAGTTCATGACTGCGGCCCAAGTATCGTCCTAAGTGGATTAACCCCTTTACAACGCGCTCGAGAGTTGTTCTAGCACTTAACTGCCACATCTATATGGATCGTTTTGTTTAAAGTTAATCTTTGCCTTTTGTTTACAATTTAAACGTGTAATTTGAAAGTACATATTTAGATACAAGATACTGATATCCATTTTTATTGAACTCTATTCAAACATTAGCGTGTAATTTCGTTTACAGTAAATAACATTTTGGTTTTCCTTGTTTCAGGTGGCAATGCTAATTCTATGCAACCGCAACCGCAGCCGCAAGGTCTCATAGTGGAAACGGGCAATGGCGCCAGCGTACTGCAACTGCCCGCGACGACCCTAGAGCAAATACGTCACATTGCTGGGGACCCGGGCGCTTCCACGCTACGTCTGCCTCCACCCGCCAGCGAGCCGCCGGCGGGCTCGCGGGAGCTCGACTTCGATTTATGCTACGTGTGCAAGCACTGTAAAGTGGCATTTCCATCGCCTGCTCCACTCCAGGCCCACCAGGCGCGTTCATGTTACGTGGGGAGAGAGGCGGCGCGTGGACTCATCCGAGTCGTGCAACCGGCGCTTGAATGCCGTACATGTCCCGGCGAGCGCTTCCGCACGACTGCCGAGTTTCGCCGACACGCTGAAGGGGAGGCACATGCGCGACGACTAGCACCGCCACCTATGGTGCAACAACCCGAACCGCTAACGCACGAGATGGAGGACGTCGTCAACCAGATCACGCTGCTGGCGGCTCGCGCAGCGCAGGACGCGTCCACGCCGAAGGACCCCAACGTGAACTTCTGCGCACCCGGTCCGCGCTTCCCACCACCCGGCGAGATGCCTCTCGCCAGCGCTGGCCACTAATCTGTTCCGATGAAATGTATAGTTACTACTCACTAGAGCTCCCCGCTCTCTCCGTTGTCCGACAACGCAGCAGTTCACTATTAGCTCTTAATGCTTCTTTTCGTTGAATGTCGCCGAGCAAGCGGCACTTTCCTAGTTATTATACATTAAAGCTTGTAGAGGTGTAAGTGTAGGTTAGTCGGGAGCCGAGCACCGCCACGGGTGCCGGCCGCGCCGCCGCCGCACACTGGGAGGCGGCGGCGGCCGCCACGGCGCCGCCCGCCGCATTCATATCATACGTTAGACAGGTTTTATTATATACGTTTATCGTTGCGGCAGCGCGCGGGCCGCGGTCGCGCCGCCGCGGCTCCATATTTTACCATCTTCTCCCAGGAAAGCAAGTTCCTATCTTTATGGCATATAATATTATCGATATTGATAATTACGATTTAATTATTGTTTAAAGCTATGTAATACATACATATATGTAATCGTTCTAATTTTAGGCATAGATACGTTCTCGTAAGAAGTTCCTGACGCATCGTAAATGTATGAAGATATATATAGTGATATACGTATATGATTTTTTTAAACATGAAGCGAAGTTAGGTACATATGTTAAGCAGTAGAGCGGTCGTCCTCTCGCGCGGGCTACGCGCTCGGGTAACAACACTTCGCGGAACGACTTCGGACGTCGTCCACTTGCCGTGCAATACATTATCTTTCGATGAAAGTAATAGGAGCACGTCGGTAGCAGGCCATACCACCGGTATTGGTCGGCAAGTTTCGCAGAGCCGCCCGTGGAGACGCGACGAAACCGCGTAGGCTTATTGATAACGATTAATTATAATTATTATCGTAGCAAACTTTTCCAAAACGAACGAACTCGAAACTCGGGCTGCGCGCCAGCGCCCAGCCTACCTCGCATACAAGTGAGTTTATTTTGGAACTAAGTGTGATTCTTGAATTTTTATTAGTATTATAATAATTATTAGTAGTGGCGTAAGTGAGTGCAAAGGCATGGAGGTACATGCGCGGCGGCGCGGCGTGCGCCCGCCCTCTCGCATGTATATTCATTACTTTACCGTGTGCGTGGAGTCCCTTATATTTTCGATGGCACAGATCACGTTAATTAAAGTATTTTACATATTTACATTTTATCTAGCGGAGTCTAATACAATATTTTATCTATGAGCGGATCTTACTACAACATTGAGTTTGTTTTTTTATAAAGTGCAATGTTTTATTCCACCGGTTGCCGGCGGTTCTTGTTATTTGTATGGTGTGCAGTGGGGCGCTACTTACGCGTTGTACGTCACTTCGACCGTTCTACAGATCTCCAGAGGCGTTTAGGGTAACCAAGAGACTTGAATTGTATTTGAGATACCAACATTTAAAATTTACTAGTGTACTTAAGAAATAATTTAACAATAAATATCGCTTGAATGAATATAAACCATACAGCAAAGAGATTAAAAGTTAAAATTGACTAGGTAAGTGACGAAAGACGCACAATGGGTAAGCAGTGCACCAACGCGAAGGCGCGCGTCTTTACAACACGATTATTTACTTTTAGCGTTTACTATTTATTGAGACACATAGCTATTGAAGTTTGTTGATGCGATGTTAAGTTCGCAAGCTCCACCGCGTGGCATTACCTATCGGATGGGTAGGTTTTCCGTAGGGCCTGTTTAATTTGATCGGTTTGTATCAGGAGTAACGTAAGTTTGATTTAGCGTAGGTGGACATGTCGGTATTACGACGTTGTGTCTCCGCGGACGAGAGCCCGCGGAAAGAATCATGGTTCCTATGTATATTTCAATATTATCGCATCTAGAGTTTCACTATACTTTCCGAATATAAATTTTAATATTTAAGATTAATTCGGATTAGTCTGTTGTACCTGCTACTCGCGGTGCCGCCACGGCCATGTTGTTTGTTTAATTTAAGCTACGTTCCTCTTTGTTTTGTATTTTTCTGTAAGTAAAACTATTCTGTATGTATATTTTTCTATTATTATTATTATTTCGTTGTTCTCGAAAGATTATTAGCGTGCACTCTCATAATCCTTTAGATAATGTTGTTTACGAAGATAAGTTTATATCTTAAAGGTAGCACTTGTGTCTATCATAGTTCCTAATACCTTATATTGAGTATTGTAATACTAAAATTATTTTAAAAATTCTTTACTAGTGAAATATACCGTTCCTACTATTATAATCTGGATCAAAATTCTATGTATCTAATCTTTGTCGTCAAAAATACGTTTTATCGTAGTGTTTTACGGTTGATTTGTCTGTACGTATACTTTGTTTTAAGCACGTGTTTCTTTATGTAAACCGAAGCAATTGTGTCAATTTCAATAAAGGTATATTTTGGTAGTGATTCAGCAAAGCGTAGATTACTTTGCCAGCATGCCGTGTGCGTAGTCCCGCTACGCGCGAGCTACGCGCCTACGACGCATGCCATCTGTAGCCGACAACAGATTTCGAATACATTGTCAAGTGTAAATGGTAAAAATAAACTCAAAGTTAGTTTATCAGAAACTGGAGTTTTATTTTTGTTGCTCAATTGTCTGAACCCTTTAAGAAATGTGAAAAAGGTATATTAGTAGTATTATGTTTTGATTTATAACGATAAGAGTGGTGGTGCATCTAATAAAAAAAATGGTCTGACGGTAGGGGACTAATTTAATAGTACGCGAAGGTTTGAATCAGCCGTTCAACTGCAGCTATTAATGTAGTAAACTACTACCAGCACTTATCAGCTTTGTGTGGTTAATGGGTTATATTAATACTGGTTTAGGTAATATTAGTAAATATTAGTGTTGCTTGACTTACGAACATTTTTTTTTATAGAATAGGGTGACAAACGAGCACACAGTCCACCTGATGGTAAGTGGTTGCTGCGGCCCATAGACATCTACATCTATCCTCCATTAAAAATCAAAATGCAGATGCGTTGTCACCCGTGAGGACTGAGATGGAATGCCTCGTTTCCAGTAAAAAGGGTCTCCGGTTCTCTACACTCACCATACGAAATACAGCAGCATTAAGCTACTATTTCACGCTGGTATTCTGTGAGAGCGTGGTCCTGCCCCGGTCGAGCCGACCCATTCGTGCTACAACTATACTACTAATATAACTGCAGCATGGCTCTACCACGTAAAAAAAATTTGGATTTTAAAGAATGCACACCTCACCAGCTCAAGGTGCACTCTGCTAATTAACAGATGAGGCACAAACGCCTGTTCATCGCTCCACTCAAAAGATGACGAAGTGAGATCCTATTAGTGTGAAGCAGCATCGGCAACGAAAAGGCCTTGGTTCAGCGCTGACCAACCTGCCTCACTTACCCATTGCTAGAACGGGCAACTGGTACATTCTTAAAAAGCATTCGAGCAAACAAACTTGACTATACTGCGTTCGAATCGTACGGAAATAAATTTACCAGTAAATACCATTGCAGCCTATCAAAGTCAACTGCTAAGCATATGCCTCCCTCGAAGATTGTCTCATAGGTGGGGTTACTTTCTATAGTTGCCACGTCCGGCAAGCAGGCTTGGCAACCGCAGTTCGTTTTGTTCAGATATTACCAGGAAGATGCTGCAGCTTATGACCTGGTTCAGTTTTCTTCTGCCACCTGTTACCACACCCACGTGATGATACGGAATAGTGGATATTTTTACACTGCCTGAACACGGTTACAAATAACATATTATATTAACTGTTTCCTTAGTTGATGAAAAAAATTAAGTAGATAAGTCAACTGTAATAGCGCTCCCCGTAAATACCACCACCAACCAACAAGACACTGATGAAATTGTTAGTTTGTTAAGTGCACATTCACTGCGTACTCGACGATGAAGGAAACATCGTAAACCTGCCATTTGCATATGTAACAAGTAAATAATTCGAGAGTAAGTAAATAATGCAAAGTCCGCCGACACGAACTTGAGTAGCGAAGTATTCTTACTGCTGCAACATCCTCTCAGGAATAAGTGGGAACCTGAGCTCGGCAGTGGAGCGTTCGAATGTGAACGTGAGAAGTTTGTATGTCTCCTCAATTTTATAAAAAAATATTAATAATTTTCCGTTTGATTTTAAAACAATATAATTATTACATTTTCCCGTGCGATGGCGACGTAAGAGGATCCAGTATCCAATTCCTTTAATGAGTGTCGGAAGCGGGACTTTAGAAACTGTTATAAAGATCTTTTTCGACAGATGCTGGCATAAACGTGTACGCCGGATATATAATATTGTGACTGGCAACAGGAAACACCGCCAACAGAGCAAAAGAGCTTGTAATATGCCGACGAAACCGCTTGTATGATTAATATGACAAATCTTACCAACAATAGAATGACCCATGTCCATCTGTAAACATTTTCGGGCTAAACAAGAAGAAACTGAAAAAAATAAAATAAATTGTAAGAAACCTAAGTAAAAAAAACACTCTTAATAAAAACCAACTTTAAGGCACTTGTTCCACCGCAAACGATGAACGAAAAGCGAGTAAAACTATGAACTAGATAAGAGTTGGCGAGCAGTGAGAAGCGAGTGTGTAGTTTCAATAGTTTTGTCGCTGGGATAGCCCAGCGTGCCAGCCCTTAGTGCACTCGCTTATATAGATAAACGAGTGCACTCAAATCCACACTGTAGAGTAAAATGACCGCTGGTTGTTCTTTCGGTGTGAGCTTTGACCGCCTAGTGGGCATCGCTAAAGAGTTTTATCACTGATAGCTTTTGTCACTACGACAAACTATAGAAGAAATACTTCTCGCTGGCAGTGCGATCAGCCAACTATTTATACAGGTATGTTAAATTACCTTTTACCATATTATCTTTATTGACACGAGATCTTTTTTATAGGATAAAAGAGATCAGAGATCTGAGAGATTTTTTTAAAGGAGAAAAGATCCTATACACGGGATCTATATTTATTGTTCATTTCTAGAGCGAGCAAATAGTCGATAGCTAATCGCTTCCTTGCTGGCGGTGGTACACGTGCCTAAAGAACTAAAAACAATTATAGTATATAGGGAGGAACTTATAACTTTGCGACTCGCGTAGTATTGTGCTATAAGTACTGATAAGAACGCGGGTTGCTATCTCACACCTTTCTCCCGTAGTGCGTATACTATTTTTTATCAGACCAGGATCGATTTGAATTCAAGTAACATAATTTATTCTCAAAGTATCATGATATGCACTTTTGACATTTAAAAACTATAAAGCTAGAAATTTGACGCATGCGTACTAAATAAATAATCATTGTATAGGTTAAAATGTATCATAACATATACTTTTGACGTTTAAAAACTATAAAACTATAAATTTGACGCATGCGTACTAAATAAACAAATCATTGCATATGTAAAAATGTATCATGATATATACTTTTGACGTTTACAAATTATAGTGCTAGAAATTTGACGCATGCGTACTAAATAAACAAATCATTGCATATGTAAAAATGTATCATGATATATACTTTTGATACTTAAAAACTATAAAGCTAGAAATTTGACGCATGCGATTTGTTTATTTAGTACGCATGTACCAAATAAACAAATCGCATGAGTAGCTGAATAAAAAACAAATCATTGTATAGGTTAAAATATATCATCACATATACTTATGACTTTTACAAACTATACAGTCACGTCTTTTAATAATAATTTTAAGAAAGTTTTCTCCGCAGTAAAACCATGCTGCAGAAATATAATTTAGACACCAACGGGTCGACCGGAGTTGGATCACGCTTTCATAGAATACGAGATTAAAATAGCAGCTTAATGCTCCTGTGTTTTGTATCATGAATGTAGAGAACCGGAGATTCTTTTAAAGACGCATTGCATCTTAATTATCAGTGGTGACAAAGTATTTTAATTCTTAATCGAGGAGTAGATGTCTATGGTCCTCAGTATCAATTACCATCAGGTGGACTGTATGCTCGCTTGTCACCCTTGTTTTGTTATAAAAGGCATTCTCACGTTGTTTTTCTTAATCGAAGAACATGTGATAAATCTGCACCAAAATTGTGATCATCCTGAACAATTGCATAATCCTGGCGGCGATCACACTTGGGTTGCTTACGTAGTGTGAAATTGACGAGCGTTCAGCCACTGAAACAACCATAGAATACTATAATTACATATATAATAGAACGAGGGAGTGGGCAGAGCCCGTGTAGCCACTAAATGATAAGAATATAGAACGACGAGTGAACGCAGGAAATAGAGTAAATGGAGCCCTACACTCTATTGTGGAAAGTCAGAATGTGTCAAAAAGGCACGTATGGCAATTCACAATGCTGTGTTAGTCCCCACTTTAACGTATGGTAGTGAAAGTTTGGTGTTGCAAAAGAAGCACGAGAGTAGAATAAACGCGGTAGAAATGCAGTCGTTAAGGAGTACTTAGGGCTGAATCTGAGTGACAGGATGAGAAATTGTGTGACTTATCAGGAGAGTGTGGTTCGCAAGACGATGTTGTGAAAATATTTAAATTTTAATGACCGCCTCAAGGTTGAGTTATATAGTCTGTAATGAGAGTTATAATAACATTTTAAAAAATTCAGGTTGCTAAAACCTTTTTTAGACAATTATTATGAGCGTTTACCATTTTTCTCTTACTTTTTCTACAATAAAGATATAATAATAATATTGTTCGTGATGAATTAAAGACGAGACAAAAGAATTTATCACTATAAGACGATGCCCTCTTGATTGTTTTTTACCCTGAAAAAACTTTTCGAATACTTATAAGCTTTTTGTAAAACTTAGTTTTACAAAAAACAAAAACACACAGTACCATTTAATGGTACTGTGTGTTTGTTAAACTCAGAATAGCCAGTTCTATAGGATGCATTTTGGAGTATGTACGCAGGAATTGCACGCTTTAATTCCTCCCTCTCCTTTCCACCATCGGACGACCAGGCAGTCGGTGGATCTTCACCCGTTTGTTGTCGATATTCACGGCATTATAACCAAACGGCTTACTTCGGCTTTTTTAATGCGTACAGCAAAGGAGTGGAATAATTTGCCGGCGTCTATCTTTCCGCCAGAACATTTCTTAGACATGACATGCCAGACATGACATTGTGACGATGTTTTCTCTCACCAACGAGCTATATCATTGATACCTGCGAGGATCGAACCCAGATCTCTCGGATTTTTCTTACTCGAAAAACTTAAGTCGGAGCTTAACCTCTAAGCTTTCTATTCAATAATACATTACCAATGTTAAAGAACTGTTTTCTTGGGGGAAATAATAATGGTTCCGAAAAACAAATTTATCTCCAGCGATCTGTGGCTGACTATTATTCTAATTAAATACCATTGTAATAAATTACCATTATAATAAATTACCAGCATATTAGCATTATAATAAATTACCGTCAAAAAAACCCAATACATACCGAAAAAAAATACAAATTTAACAAACAAAGGAGAGAACGGTCAAATTACATTTCTCCTAAAAAAAAAATAGATCTTCGAATAACAAAAATAAACTTCCGAATAAAATACTGAACCTCCGACAAGATTACTAAGTTACCGACAACAAAGGTTTTGACAAAATAATCATATTTTTACGACTTGCATGAACTATTATAATTTCTATTGTTGGTTATCAAATATATTTTTAACCCTCAATAATGATGAAAATACCTCAACTGTTTGTCCCGCGCGACCGGGTTCGGGTCGCGGTCGGCTGTTTTCGCGAGGTCGGATGGATGTTCCGAGCGCAGTGCGCTTGCAACGACCGATCCTTGCGTGTTTTGTTTGTATAAGTTATGAAATTAAATAGTTTTTGTTGCTATTGGTTTAATATTATGATGTCAAAAAACTAATAAATCTACTTAGGTATCTATTAAGGAAACTTAGTATTGTTGTGAAATATGGATGAGGTACCTGTGTACCGTTCTGAGTCGGAGGAGGAAGAAGAGGGAGCTGGTCCATCGGTACCGGCGAAGAAGATTCGCCGTAACAAAAGTTGGGTGTTGATCAAACGGTGCTATAATGTAAAAGAAGCAGAGAAATTTGTGAGTAATGAAAAGACTTGGTCAAGAAATTATATTCGGGACAGTGATGAAGGCCAAAAACGTTTCTATCGTTGTAACAAGGTAAAATCCAAGGGGCCACAGTCTGATTGCGCGTTGTATTTATTGTTTGTGAACGACTGTAATGATATTCTTATTTTTAAGACCACTTCAGAGCACAACCATGACCAGATTGGTACGCGAAGTGAGTACGGAATTCCGGAAAACGTAAAAAGAGAAATAAATAAGCTGTTTGATTTACGCCTAAAGCCAAAAGCTATATTAGAGGCTCTAAACAACATGACAGGGATAAAGGTGATGATGAAAATGAAGTTTTCGTGTTCAGCTATCACGTGATAGAAGCGGAAGAACCAAGTTTTCGTCTGGCATTGTCAACTAAAAAATTACTCAACATAGTTTGTTCCACGGACATACTGCACATAGACGCCACATACAAACTCATATCAAGGGTTCCCCGTTTTAGTTCTCGGTGCCACTGATAAGAACCGCAAGTTCCATCCGCTTTGTCTTGGTGTGTCCACGAATGAACGTCAAGAAGATTTTCAAATGATTTTTGATGGCCTTAAAGAAAAGGTTCCGTCTTTATTTGATCACGTGATGCAACCTAAAGTTTTAGTTTGTGACGCTGCTCAGAGTATAAGAAATGCTTTCATCGCGGTTTTTGGTACCACACCAGTTATTCGTATCTGCTGGGGTCACGCGAAAAAGAAATGCACCAAAAAGTTCAGAAAACCGTCAACAATAAAACGAAACAGAAAGAAATCATACAATACATAGACGCACTACATAATGCTACATCATATGAAGTATTTAATGCTGCATCACAGGCTTTTGTTGAAAAATGGCAGACTCAAACCGAGTTCATTCACTACTTTAAAAAAGAATGGTTAAAGAAACATCCAAATTGGTTTTTAGGCGCAGCGCCGTATTCACCCGCCACAAATAATGCATTAGAAGCAATCGGAACATAAAAGACCAAAAAACCTTACGTCAACTTCTTCCACTTTCACATTTCTGGACCATTGCCACTGAGATGGTTGCTCAGTGGTCTTTACAAAGCTGCAAAGAACCTTTACCTGAAACACCTACTATTGAGCTGAAGGACTGGACCGATGGGTATTGCTGGGCAAGGAAAGATTTAAGAATAAAGATTTTATCATCCAACACGGCATACACTGAATACTTGATCCCAAGTAGTAGTTGTAGCCAAGTAGGAGAGGTGTCGTACGGTGAGCAGTGGTTAAACTTTGAACATTACAAGATGAAACATTTTGCTTTCTGGAAAGTCACAGTGCCTAAACACGAAACACAAAATGTAGAATGGTGAAAAGGATCCTGCACTTGCCCACAGTTTCATAAAAAATACGTTTGTAAACACCTTCTATAGGTAGAGCTAGCTATTAGATTGAAGCTCGCGACTCCACCTATGGAAGCGAAAGCACTACCTATAGGACAAAAAAGGAAACGGGGTCGTCCTACTAAATCCAGACCTGCTCTTATAATACAATGAAGATAATTAAGATACCTATCAAACAATATTTTATAATGAACTGAATTTCGTTTTATTTTTATCTCTTTTCTCGCTAACATTATAAAAACAAGGGAATTTGTCGATTAAAAAAAAAACAGGATAATAGTAAAATATTGTAGGAAACCAAAATCCACCTGGGTTTAGATTTATCTATATGACTGTTCTGAATTTTTAACGCCTGCCAAAGTAGCATGGCCACTAAAACACGATATAATAAAGCTATTTATCGCTTTGAACTTTCAAAATTCCATTGTATTTTGACAGTTCACAGCGATAAATACCTTTATCATATCGTGTTTCGATGGTCATGTTATGGGGGCTGAAGTAAGTACTGATATCGAAGCATACCTGTGGGAAGTATAGTTCATGATAAGTAAAAGGTAATATTATTACAATTACATTTTTATATTTTTTATAAGTTTCTGTATAACCACTCAGAATAGCATTTTCAGTATAACGTTGTAGTTAAAATAGCACCACAGTCTATGAAATATGGAAGGTAATTTATATATTAATTAAGTAAGTACAGATAAAAATTACAAAGCATAGTTTTCAGTAAAACCTAATTTAAGCTGGTAGAAAAGTATTAAAGCATTAAAGGTTAGTATTTAATTTTGGAAGATTTTAGTATTTCATTCGGTCGTTTCGTCATTTTTATTCGGACAAAAGTAGTCGGAAAGTTAGTATTTGAAGCAGTAGATTTCATATTTTGAGTAAGGGCAATTTTTATTTTTTTCTGTCGGAGCTTTTATTACTACCCTTTTCTTGGCAAGATGTAAAACTTTTTTCCAAATAATAACCTAACCTGCGCCCGATATCCAGTTAACAAAAAGAAAAGGCTCGGACGACCGATAAAAACGTGCATCCATTAGTAAATGTCAGAACCCAACTTAATAGCTTAGCATGTAAAAGAATTATAAAACTAATTAAAATACATATTTATACATATTTATACATATATATATATATATATATATATATATATATATATATTTACCGTGTAGTGGCGGCGTAAAAATATCCCCATATCGTCCCGTGGGTGTCGTAACAGGCGACACAGGGAAACAAACCAGGAAATGAACAGCTGCTTCTAATAACAACTGAAAAAATATGAACGACTGCGGCTGCTAACTCGCCCTCCAGGCTACTTATGACAAATATATGAGACAATCTATGGGGGCCTATGTTCAGCATTGTGGACTTTTGATGGACTGTAACAGTAATGGCTATACGGATATGTTTCCTAGTGTACTTAAAGTATTTTACTTAACGATTTTCTTGCGTCCATTGTGCTACTTAAAATATATATTGAAAATGGTTCTAGTTGCGTAAAGAAAAATGCCGAAATACATATTTATTCTTAATTATGTCTTGAGAGTGAATGAAGATGGGCAGCAGTGTCTTTATAATAACAATGAAAAATAAAATACAGTTATTTTGTTGCAAACCCGCTCACCGAGCGTAGCAACTATGGCGAATCTAAGGGGCTATTAAGGGGGAAGCATATGTTCAGCAGTGTGCTGTGATAAACTGAACCCCGAGAAGTATGATGATATTGTTACGAGCTTGAGGTTCGTGAAAATAAAAATTGCCGATAAATTTACCTAAATTAACACTTTAATTTTCTTTACACAAATTAAAGTTTAAATCACCAATAATTAAGCACACTAATTCACTTTATTCCGCTCCGAAGCTTCGCTTGTCTCGCCGAATTCAATACTTCCCCGGTCGCGTATTGCAGCGCCTTTATGGGGCTCTTCCACGAAAACATCCAGAATATTCCAGAATATTCGAGTAAATACGCGCGCCAACCGACCAAGCGCAGAAAGTTCGAGTTTGGAGCTTCCAGAAAGCTTAGTTCTTCAATTCGATACTAGATGGCGCTGTCGGTTGAAAGATTAGTGATGTCATTTTCTGGAAAGCTCTCTCTTCGCTCTGTTACCCGACACTAGATGGCGCTAGTGCCGTCGACTTAGGCGCGTAACAATATGTTAATGTAACGAAATAAAGGATCGGCAATATATCATTTACCATAATCGTCTTTATTTATACTAAGTAAAATCCCATTTTAGAGAATTTTTAAAACAGAAATGTGGAAGCAAAAAAATATTGGCGAACAGAATGATGATCAGGAGACCTAGAGAAAATATCACAACTTGAACGCTATTTCATGTCATCGGTCTCTTTGCTTCCACCAAGCAATTGATAAAATAAGACAATAAATGTACCATGCATATCTTAGCTGACGTCGTGACCTTCATACCTTAGATAAACGGCGGGGTGACAGTTATCTTGTCACGGCAACATAGTTTTAACTTTAAAATATACAAAAATATAATCACACTCATATCTCGTGAACTAATCATGATAACGACTCTAAAACAATATTCGACGCAGAACTTTGCGATGTACATTTTTTAAAAATTTTCAACAAAATTAATCCTGTAATTTTTTGGAAAGGGATCGAACACTCGATATACGCTGAGAAGGCCGAGGGATCGGAAACGGTCTTGGGGCATCGTGATGCAAGTGCGTGGTCGCTGGGGTTAGATTTACTGCCCCGAGACGTGTTAAACATGCAACACGATGGAAGAGCTCTAGTTACGGACCGTACGGAGATCCCAAGACTCCGCGTCTCCGCTGATAGAAACCATCGTAGGGTTTTAAACGTAAAAATTGTAATAGACTTAAATTATCTACCGCAGCGGATAGTATCCATGAGGTATCCTTACAAAAAACTTACATGGCAACCTTCATACATAAGAGAGAAGAGAAGGTGAAAGATAATTTCTCATCCTAAACGCATTTTGTATCTTAAAAATATCACAATAGCTTATCATACGCACCAAAACGATCATGATATCGGTTCCGAACAATTTTTTTCTTCATTGCGGAATTACATAATAACACCTGCTTACGTTTTCATTAAAGTTTTTTTTTTCTAGTTATTTTTAGTCAAAAGAATTTGAACTTACAGTGATAGTAAGGGGGAGACCAAATGACACCCACATACATTAATTTATATATATATATATATATATATATATATATATATATATATATATAACAGGATCTATCGCCCCATCTTCGTAGATGTTGTTAGCAACGACTAAAATGTATGAAATGCTATGATGTGAAGGTGGAGTCCGGAATTTCAGATGTATAATTCTATCATATAATTCAGAAGCGAATATTGCATAAACGAGTAGTAAAAGAAACCAAAACAAATTGTGTTTAAAAATACGCGGTACAGTACCAAGAACGCGTACTTGTATAATTTTAAACTGTAAAATATGTTTCGTATGGTGAGTGTAGAGAAACTAGTCCGGCCAATCTAGACATTCGGTGATACATAAAGTAACAAACAAGCTGATAATCGGTAAAATTGGTCAATATATAATTATAAATAAAATTTTGAAGTTCCCCACCTTTCCTGTGTATGAAATTTTTTTTTTACTCTAGGTCGGGAGGTCGAAAACGGTAAGTTTTATCATACTCGTAAAAATTTATAATACAAAAATTATAGATCATAAAATTGTCTACAAAAAATGTATCAATATTTTTTCTCCTACAAGCCACCGTTTCTGAGATATTACGATTCAAAAAGTTGTAAAAGTTGTTAACATCGTAATATGGACACGTATCCACGCCATCTACGAGGTAGTGTACTTAACGCGTTTTTTTAACGTGGTTTCTCCAGTTATGATCCTGTTTAATTTGTAACTATTGCAAAATAATGGAAATTAGCAAAGATTGGAAAAATTGAAGCGATATCAATAAAAAAAAGTAATGAAGGCTTATTCGTCCGATTCGAATTCTTCTTCTTCTTCTGGTTCTTGTTTTATTTTCAGTGTAAGTTACAATGACCGATAGAAAAATATTTTAACACATGTTAAAACCCCAGAGATGTATATAGGTGGCGTGCTCAAGCATATTATGACGTTTACTACTTTTACAACTTTTTGAATCGTTATATCTCAGAAACGGTGGCTTGTAGGAGATTCATTTTTTGTAGACAATTTTATGATCTATCATTTTTATCTAATAAATTTTTATGATAAAACTTACCGTTTTGCTGAAAATCACGAAAAACTCATTTTTTGACCTTTGACCATGAGTAACAGGAAAGGTGGGAAACTTCAAATTTTTATTTATAATTATATTTTGAACAATTTTACCGCTTATCATCTTGTTGTAACTTTATCTATCTTCACTATTATTTTCTGGTCTAATTTGACCGGACTAACCGGAGAGATACGAGGCACTCCATCTTAGTCCTTAGACAGTGCATCAGCATATCGATTCTTAATTAACGATAAACACCACAGCCACAGTACCACAGTATCCACTTACCGTCAGGTGAACTGTGTGCTCACTAGTCACACTTATTTCGTAAAAAAGCTTTCTTATCTCGCAGAGACGACAGGTCGCGGATACAGT